CACAAATCAATAAATGTGACACATCACATTAGCAAAATGAAGAAAAAATATGATTATATCAATACATGAAGAGAAAGAATTTGATAAAATACAACATCCTTTCATAATGAAAACAAAGCAAATTTTGTATAGAAGGAACATTCCTCAAGACAATCAAGGCAATTTATGACAAACACACAGCCAGCGTACTATTGAATGGGGAGAAGGTAGAAGCATCCCCATTGAGATCAAGAGCCAGATAAGGATGCCTACTCACATCTTGCTGTTAAACATAGCCCTGGAAGGTTGCCCAGAGCCATTAAGCAAGAAAAAGAAATCAAAGGAATGCAAGTTGGGAAGAAGGAAGTCAAACTATCTGTATTTGCACATGACATGATTCTATATATAGAGGATCCAAAATAAGAGACTATTAGAACTCATAAAAGACTTTTGGTAAAGTGGCAGCATATAATATCAGTACACAAAAATCAATAGCCTTTGTATACACAGACAATGCCACTGCTGAGAAAGAATTTCTAAGATAAATCCCATTCACAATAGTTAAAAAAAAATACTTTGTTATAAATTTAGCCAAGGATATCAAAGATCTCTACAATGAGAATTATAAAACATTAAAGAAAGAAATAGAAGACACACACACAAAAATGGAAAAATCTTCCATGTTCATGGATTGGAAGAAGCAATATCATCAAAACGTCCATACTAACAAAAGCAACTAACATATGTAATGTGATTCCAATCAAAATTCCAAGGCCATTTTTCTCAGATCTGGAAAAAATGATACTGAAATTCATATGGAATCACAGGAGACCCCAAATAAGTAAAGCAATCTTATACTACAAAAACAAAGCTGGAGGTATCACAATACCAGATTTGAAGGGCAGTTATAATCAAAACAGCTACTACTACTACTACTGGCAAAGGAAAAACAGATGGATAGACTAAAAGAACAGAATAGAAATGCCAGAAATCTACCCATGCATCTACAACTAGCTTGCCTTTGACAAAGGAGCTAAAATCAATCCCTGGAGCAAGGACATTCTCTTCAAAAAACAGTGCTGGAAAAACTGGATCTCTACATGCAGAAGTATAAAGCAAGACCCCTATCTTACACCTTACAGGAATATCTACTCAAAATGTATCAAAGACCTAAATCTATGACCCAGCATTTTCAAATTATTAGAAAACATTGGGGAAACCCAGTGAGACATTGACATAGGCTGAGATCTTGTTTAAAACCCTAGAAGCACAGGCAATCATAGCCAATCGATTCACAAATGGAATTACAGCAAATTGAGAAGCTTCTGCACTGCAAAAGAAACCCTCAGCAAAGTGAAGAAGCAACCAACAGAATGGGAAAAATTATTTGCAAACTATGGAACTGCTAAAGGATTAATATCCAAAATGTAGAAAGAGCTCAAGTAACTCAAAAACAACAAAACAGACAACCCAACTAACAGACAGTTTTTCAAAAGAAGAAATCCAAATGGATGACACATGAGAAAATGCTCAGGATCACTAGCCATCACAGAAATGCAAATCAAAATCACAAAGAGGGGGCCGGCACTGTGGCTCACTTGGTTAATCCTCCACCTGTGGCGCTGGCATCCCATATGGGTGCCGGGTTCTAGTCCCGGTTGCTCCTCCTCCAGTCCAGCTCTCTGCTGTGGCCCAGGAGGATGATGGCCCAGGTGCTTGGGCCCCTGCACCCACATGGGAGACCAGGAGGAAGCACCTGGCTCCTGGCATCAGATCGGCGTAGTTCCGGCCATTGCAGCCTTTTGGGGGGTGATCCAATGGAAGACCACCTTTCTCTCTGTCTCTCTCTAACTCTGTCAAATAATAATAATAAAAAAAAAACCAATGAGGTTTCAGCTCACTCCCATTAGAATGGCTTTCAAACACACATCAACAAACAAATGCTGGTGAGGATGTGCGGGGAAATGTACTCTAATCTACTGTTGGTGGGAATGTAACCTGGTCCAGCCACTGTGGAAGACAGCATGAGATACCTCAGAAATCTGAATATAGACCTACCATACGATCCAGCCATCTCACTCCTGTGAATTTACCCAAAATGAAATGAAACCAGCATATCAAAAAGTTATCAATACCCCTCCATGTTTATTGCAACTTAATTCACAATAGCTAAAATATGGACTCAACCCAAATGTCTGTCAACTTAAGTCCAGATAAAGAAATTGGGATATGTATAGCATGAACTACTACACAGCAGTTTAAAAAAAATGAAATCCTGTCATTTTCAACAAAATGGGTGCAAGTGGAAAGCATTAAACTAGCAAAATAAGCTACTCTCAAAAGGACAAAGACCCTAAATTCTCTTATCTGTGATAACTAATAGAGTACCTAATATATAATCTACAGAAGTGAAATTGACACTTGAGAAGTGATGATTTTAAATAGCCCTTGACTATTTAGGAACAGTGTTTACTTTTTTTTCATACTATTTGTTGAAAACAGTCCTTAGTATAGAGTTAATCTTATGTGTGTATAGTTAATTGAAAATAGATCTCAGCCAAAAATAAGAATGGGAATAGGTGAAGGAGGAGTAAGAAAGGTTGGAGTGGGTAGGAGTGGAAGGGCAGGTAGGGTAGGAAGAATCACTATGTCTTAAAGTTGTATTTATGAATTGCATTAAGTTTATACACCTTAAATAAAATGTTTCTCAGTTAAAAAAAAGCAACTCATAATGGGAGAAAATATTTGCAAACTATTCATATGATACAGTTTACTATCTAAAATATATAAGGAGCTCAAGAAAATCAACAACAATAAAGTAATCAAGAAATAGGATAAGGAAATGAATAGGAATTGTTCAAAGGATGAAATTCGAATGGCCAAAACACACATGAAAAGATGCTCAGGATCACTTGCCATCAGGGAAATGCAAATCAAAACCATAATGAGGTTTCACTTCACCCATTAGGATGCCTATCATTGAAACATGAAAAAATAAATACTGGTGAGGCTGTGGAGAAAAAGGTACCTAAATACACTATTGGTATTATGTAAACTAGTACAATGTTTATGGAAGACAGTATGGAGGTTCCTCAAAAATCTGAAAATAGATCTATCATATGACCCAGCAACCCTACTCCTGGAAATTTACCCAAGGGAAATATCAATGTATGAGAGTTATCTGAACCCCCAAGGTTGTAACAGCTCAATTCACAGTAGCTAACATATGGAATCATCCCAGATGTCCATCAACTGATAACTGGGTAAAGAAAATGTGATAGATATACACTATGTAGTAATAGTCACATAAAAATAATGAAATTGTCTTTTGCAACTAAATGGATTCAACTGGAGACCATGTTTATCTGAAATGTCAGATCCAAAAAGACAAATACTGTGTTTCCTTTGATTTGTGGCAGCTAACACAGAGAATAAAAGAATACAATGTAATTGAGTGAAACTGACATCTTAATATTATTTTTTATAGCTCTTGTCTCTACTTCAGAACAGTTGTCTTTCTACTTTCTTCTTGTTGAATTCTTTATTTAGTTGAGGATTAAGCTTGTGACAATAAAATAAATTGAAAGTATGCTATTATAAAAATTTAAAAAATAAAGGAAGGAAGGAGGGAGGGAAGTACCACTGCGGGCTTAAAATAATATATATGAAATACATGAAATCTTTTCTCTTTATATAAAGGAAAAAAAAACCATGAAATAAGATGAGAAATATCGAAAGTGACTAAACAGAATAGGACCAGCACTGTACAAATGGACTCTTCAACACTTAGCAATGAGGAAGATAAGAGGAATCAAGGGAAACCAAGATTTATCAATGTTTATCAAGTTATTGAAAACACCCAACTCCAGGCCAGCACTGTGGTGTACAGTGTTAAGCCAAGGCCTGTGGTGTCGTCATCCTATATGGCTGCCAGTTTGAGTCCCAGCTGATCCACTTCTAATCCAGCTCCCTGCTGGCCTGGGAAAGCAGAGATGGTCAAGTACTAGGGCCATTGCATCCGCATGGGAGACTTGGTTAAAGCTCCCAACTTCGGCCTGGCAATTGCAGCCATTTGGAGAGAGAACCAGCAGGTGAAGACTTCTTTCTCTGCCTCTACATCTCCCTCTTTAAAAACAAACAAACAAACAAAACCCAGAAAGACAGAATTACAGAAAGGGAGAGACAGAAAGGTCTGCCATCCGCTGACTCACTCCCCAAATGGCCACATCAGCCCAAGGTTGGTAGATCTGGAGCCAGGAGCTTCTTCCGGGTCTCCCACATGAGTGCAGAGCACTTGGGCCATATTCCACTGCTTTCCCAGGCCACAAGCAGACAGCTAGATGAGAAGCTGGGACACGAACCAGTGCCCATATGGGATGCACGCATCACAGGTGGAGTCTTAGCCTACTACATCACAGTGTTGGCCCCAGATCTTTTTAAATTTTTTTAAAATACCTAACTTTGAATCAGCACTTCTACCTTTAGGAAGTCCTGAGAAACTAACAGGACTAGTAGGTGCTTAATTAGAAAATTTTAAAAACCTGGGAGGTGGCATGGCCAGATAACCTTAAACAATGATGGACTAACAAGATACATCATAGTATTCCACAAGATATTGTAATCAATTAAAAATGACATATATTTTAGCAATCTGTAAATACTTCACAATTCATTAAGTGTGAAAAGTTGAATAAAGCTTTATAGTTTGCTTTATGCTTATTTGTTACACTATTTGTTTACGCCTTCTTTACCACTGATAACCCGAAATAATAAATGTTATTACCTTGGGAGGAAAGTTAAGACATTTTTCCCCTCTACACCTAATTGAACTTTGTAGTTTTTCTAAACAGTCATAAAAATATAAAAACATTTTTCAATGAAGCTCATTTAGTGAGATGAAACACAAAGGACCTTAAAAGGAAACCTTATTCAAACCATTAAAAAATTGTATAACAAAAATGTACATAACTGAAATCATGATTATGAACCACTTTGAAATAATATAGAAAATGATGTTAATAATATATTAAATATTTTATTTAAGACCAACAAAATCACATACATTTATTCCACTATTTGAATAAAATTTTGTTACTTTCAAATCATTTCCACAGTATCCTATGCATCAAATTCCATACATTCCAATACTGTCATGAACGTATTTTTTTCAAAATATATAGGCTGTATTCCAACATTTGATATATAAAACTCAGAAATAATATTATATACATTCACTTTAAATAACATAATTATAGTCATCTTAATACTATTTATATTCAAGTACAAATTCACAGAAAAAATGCTTTCTTAAAAATGTTTTTATTTCGAAAAAAATTAAAATCTGGTCTGCTTCTAAAATTGCATTTTTTTCAATTTTAAGTATTGACTTAAAAATTTTCCCTAATTTAGTTAAAATCATTGACAATAAAAAAAATGTTAAAGGTCTAATTATAACAATATTCCTTTTTTCTTACGATGCTTTTATTAGCTAATGACTATCATTTAATTTTTAATTTGAATTCATAAAACCATGTTGGAAGGTTATTTTTAATGCCTCAAAATTCTATATTTCTATAACTATTATGCAAATACTTCTTAAACTGTTAAATTATTTCATCTTTATAATAATCAAATATTACACTACCGAGTTGCTTCTTCATTTTGAGTCAGTTTCTTCAATCTTAAAAGGTAAAATTACTTTCTTACATCTAATAATACTTTTTTCCTTTTAAAATTTACACTTAAAAACTTTAATGATGTAATGGATTCACCAGATCACAGAGCTTTCCTCATTATTATGGACAGCATTAAATCAAATACTGATTTTCTTCTTGTAATTCAGACTTGTCTATTGAATCAGTTACCCAATCTTCTTGCAGGATCTTAAACTTTCTCTTAAGAGTTCTTCTAAAAGCTTTAAAATCCGGAACACGGCTATGATCGTCCCCAATGATTACATGAGACACTCCCTCAGCTAAACAAGAAACTAATTTTGCTCCATGAAATCGAAGCTGCAAGGCCTTAGTAGCTAATCCTGTTCCCTCAATTTTGGTGCTCAAGTCATTAATCACAGCATACAAGTCCAAATAGACAGTGTGGTGTCGAAACATACTGAGAGGAGACTGGTCCCAGGAATAACGAAATTCTAAATCAGCAATCACAGAAGCCATTTCTTCGGGAGTCTGCTCATCAGAATTTTTAATTCCTGAAAATACTTCCTTCAGCTGGTTCAAATCTGTGTCAACAAAATAACTATCCCCATAACAATCATATTCAAGGGCAAAATGTTTTTTTGTTGATGGGCACATGTGGATCATAAAGCGTGGCTGCCAAGGCACGCAGCTTTTGGTCTTAAAACACTCCAGAAGCCACGCAGGCTTGACAACATCGTGCTTATCTGAAGAAATAATATTTTTCACTCTGATGTTCTCAGACCCTGCAATTACACAGTACGTGTCCGGGCCTGGATTCTGTACGATATAACCACCAAGTTCTGCGATTCTGTTCTCTAGGTCAGGCTTTGGATGGCTGTCTGTTCCACTCATGACACAAAACTCTACATCTTCAAATATATTAGAAACCTTGTTTATGTTAGAAAGGTTCGGTGCTTTTAAATGTTCAATAATTCCAATAACTTTCTTCATCTTGGGGGCAGCTTTACGCTTTTTTTCTCGGGGTTCATCATCAGCGCCTACACAGAGGTGTTTGGATGCGAGCTTCCCAGACGCTCTCCCTCTGAGTTGTTCTAAGTCATCCAGAGTCATGCATTCATGCCATTCTTTGTCATCTCTTATCTTCTCGATTCGTGGAAAACGCAAGGTGCAGCCAGTTTTGTACATAGTACTGGGGACAATCTCTGCTGCCTTAACTTGGACAATGACAGAATTGCGAGGTTCAATGTATACTTCCGGCTTCTCCGTTCCACATAAAATACTACCTGGAGGAGCTTTTCTATGAAATGGCTTCCAGTGTTTGGCCAATTTCAAACCCAGATCATATAGTTCTTTCATGGTGTATCCTGAGCCAACACGACAGAGAGTATGAAATACAGATGGCTTTTCACCAGGAGGTGGCCTCTCTGCCACAGCACACAAAAAGTGAGACATCATTCCACCCCGTAGACCTTTACCCCAATAGCCCCCAACAATTAAGATGTCCAGTTCATCCATTAGTCCACTGACATACTCTGGCTTAATTTTCAACCACCCTTCACCCCTTTTGTCTGGCTTGTAAATAGACAGAGGATGTTTTATCATGATTCCTTCTTCTCTCTTATCTATGGCTTCGTTCAACGCATCAATTACTTCATTCTTGGTATGAGCTAGTGTTTTCTGCACGATTTCTATTCTACCTGGCACTGGTGTAAAAACACTACTAAGAATCTCATATCTGTTTCTCAGGGTCTCACGTCCAAGTTTTTTATTATTAACCATCAATACATCAAAAACACAGTAACATGTTTGCAGATCAGAATCTTCTACCATTCGTTTAATGTCAAACTTATTCCCCTTTTGCATAAAAGTCTGTGTATCTGGGCTGTAGGCCATCATCTCCCCATCGAGGATACAGCTCTGTGACTCTGTTTTGAATGCACTGTGAATGAATGGGGTGAGAGAACCTTCATGTGGAGCAGCACCAAACTGGTCAGTGTAGTTATATCCGTTCCGGGAGAAGTACTGATAGACATCCCCGTCCTTGTGCATCTGCATACGCTCACCATCCAGCTTGGTTTCAATGTAGAAGCTCTGGTGCTTCATATCCTTTTCAATGCGCTCAATATCTGCCACAGCAGCTAACATCGGTTTAAAGGCAGAAAATAAAGTGATAGAGATATCACTGAGTCCCACGGAAGGATTATGTAGTTGCCTACAGACCTTTTCCAGATCGGTGGTGACATTATGCAGCTCAACAGCATCAGCATGAAAGGCAGAAAATATAGTTTGCTGACTAACACCAAGCTTTAAGTCCTTTACGATCATCCGTATGAGCCACTTCTGTTCAAGCGCTGAACTCTGTGTTATGAGCTGAAGAAGACTCTTTTTGGTTAGGTCTTTTCTTTTGGCAGAGTTATTGCTGGCAACCGAGTCTAGAAGGTCGTTTACTTGCTGTATGGTTAGGCTTCCTTTCTGCAAACATCTTGGCTTCAACACAAAGTAGGCAGTCATTGCAAAGTCACCTGCATCTCCATGTGTCGCAGCAGGTGTTCTGTAATTTAAAAGCTTAAGGGCATCTTTTCCCTCTCTAGGTAAATTAAGTAATTCAATATAAAGCTTAGCAAGCATAGTTTCCTTTATTCCATAGGCCATTCTCTCTCTCTCTAGCTGAGGAAGAATAAGTCTCATTGCTGGATAAAATGAGTCTGTGACATCTTTTTGGTTCTTATGAAGGGCATCATGAAATTTCCTCCAAGAGTCCAAAAATTCACTAAAATGTCTGATTTTGTCTGCACGTCCTTTACTTCTCTGTATTCGTTCTAAAGTTGAACACAGATCTGCAAAAGGAACATGAGATGCAACAGTTTGTGCAGTCTGTGAGGCAGCCATTGAAGTGATGGTGAATCCTTTGGTTTAACTAACAAGGCAAAAAGAGAATAATTTAAGAAAAGGCAAACTTCAACTAACATAAAGGTCTTATGACAATTAGACAATATTTATTAATGCTTGCTAAATGAAAATATATCGATGATGTACCTTTTCACACTCTACTTTTAGTAACTATTGATTTTCAATATAAGTTGGTATTTATAACCAAAGTAGGGATGGGCAACATCCAGTCCACAGACTGTATAAGGCCTGCGGAGGCAACCACAGGTGGGATTCAAAGTTCATTAAATCCATAGTAGGTAATTTTTAAGTTAATAATTTTGTATGGCCCATGAATGATTTATAAATATTCAAATGGCCCTTGGCAGAAAAAAAGGTTCCCCACCCCTGATCTAAAGGATAATCATCCCCATTTCCTATAAAATGAAAAAAATCACTTTATGTTTCTCCTTAAATTTCAATATTCACTGAATTATTTTATCGCTTAATTAGTTAGCACATAATGCAAAATAATATCGTTAACAGGGACAGGTAGAATTAATTTCATTTGTAAGGCCCTTCTTTGTATGTCTCTTCTTTATGTCAATTATCACCTAGCACCAGAAACAAACTTCTGAAATCATGTTTTTAAAAAGTCACAAGCTCACTAGATTAAGATGTGATTTCCTAGGATGTTTGAGATTCCAATCATTCATAGGGCCCTCTTCTTACAGTCAAACAAAGATCAAAGCCTACCTCTATTTTTACTCTCAGGTCTTCACTGGTAGCTGTTCTACATCACTCTAGTACTCAAAACCAACTCAATAAGCATCCTACTTTCCCTATGTACTTTATCAGGGTACTCACAGTCCTATAAATATTAACTCATTAGCATACTTCTTTTTGTTAGCATATCCATGCCAGTCATTCTCCAAGTAGCCAGTAATTACTTAAGAGTCAATCTCTGTGCTACAGGCAAATACACTATGTTTCTACTCTCAAAGAGCATATATTCGATTAAGAAAAAGAGATATAATGGGAACTAATTATAATAAAATATTAAGTGGTCTCTGACAAACATAATATAAGTACAATGACTTGAAACACAGCTTTTTATTGAAGTATCTTCTAAAATCGGCAGAGAAATAATGAATACCTTGATGGGGTAACATTGAGAATACTTCCTAAAGTTGTTACCATGGTGTGAAATTTACTTAAAGTTTTACACATTCATCCAAATCCTACTGGAATTATAGCAGATTTATTTAATACAGTTTAACACATGTAACACTGGGGCTGGCATTGTGGCATAGCAGGTAAGGCCACTGCCTGTGATGCCAACATCCCATGTGGGCACTGGTTCCTATCCCAGCTGCTCCACTTCAGATCCAGCTTCCTATTTATGGGCTGGAAAAAGCAGTGGAAAGTGGCCCAAGTACTTGGTCCCCTGCCACCCACAAAGGAGACCTGAAGAAGCTCCTGGATCTTGCTTGGCCCAACACTGGCTGTAGCAGCCATCTGGGGAGTGAACCAGCAGTTGGAAGATCTCTACCTCTCTCTGTAACTCTGACTTTCAAATAAATAAATCAACCTTTGAAAATAAATAAAATATGTAACATTAAAATAAATTAACTATCCCCCCACAAAAAGACATCCAAGTAAATTGTATACCCCAGAAATATAAACCATGTTTTATCTTGTGCCACATCATTATGTAGACCAGGCAGTAGGGTATCAGTGAGGTATCACAGGGATTGGGGAGACCTATTACAGTGCAGAAACCATGAGATTTCTCACACCCTAATTTTCCAACCCAATCAACAGAGAAATACACATAATCAACATGGGCTATATGATCTAATATCTAGTCAAACTGCTAATTATGTAACTACCTAAACTCCTGTCTCTACAGAAACTATGCTAGAAGTCTTGCCAGAAGGATGGGCGTGTGGCACAGCAGTTAAGAGGATGCTTGGGACACCTGCATCCCATATCAGAGTGCCTGGGTTCAAGCTCCAACTCAGTTTCCCATTCCATTTTCCAGCTAATGTGCACCTTAGGAGAGAGCGGACAATGGCTCCACGACTTGGGTACCTGCCACCTGCAGTGAGTTACTGACTCCTGGAGTTCCTGGCATCAGCCTGGCCCAACCCCGGCTGTTGTAAACATTTGGGGAGTGAACCAGAAGATGGGGACATTTTTCCTCTCTCCCTCCTTCCCTCCCTTTGCCTCACAAATATAATAAGTAATTAACAGAAAAGGATTCTATCAGTATCGGTGGATATAGAGTAGGTTTGTTTGCTGAGTGAATTATTGAACACCTAGAGTTGATTCTTGAAAAAGCATACTAGGGAAGGCTAAGGGATGGCTAAACACACACAATCAATTTGATTAAAAAATACTCTGCAACTCTGACTGCACCAGCAATGGCTCACAACAAACATTTGGTGGCCTACTGAGAAAAAAGCTGCATTTCTCATTTTCTGACCAAGGAAATCCACTATCTACTGAGTGGATGAGTTCAAGACATCAACCCCTAAGAGGCCACTTCCCTGAGAGTTCTTTGATTGCAGTAACTGCTTCCTCTGACTGCACCTGGTTTGCATAACTGACTGCACCAGCTGGTTGAGTGTGCTCACTGTGTTGCCTCCCAAAACATGCTCTCAACAGACTACACTACGGTTCAGCACGTTGTATTTACAGTAACTTTACATCAATGTGGCACACAGTGCTGTGTGTACAATCAAGATATGTATGCAAAGTGAAGCATTCAGAAATTCCGCTTTGAATGTTCAAATACTAGCATCTAGTTTCTATCTGTAGAGCCGATATAGATACCTCAAAGCTTCCTTCAGCAAATCCCAGGCAGATTCAAATTATTTCATAAAAATGATGAAATTTAGGTGTGGATACACATGCATCCTAAAATGGTTATACAATAAGGGTTGCAAAATTATTACAAAATGAGTATACTTCTGCTCCCTACATGTGCATAGAAAGTCTAAGGGTCTCCATTGCTCTTTACCTGTTCTGTAGCCTAACTCTTTGGATTTTGAAGGTTTATCAAATGCTATCTGCAGTAAGACAAACCAGGGGGTTTGCGGTTAAGAGAGAGACTAAATCTGAGTTCAAATGTGGACTCTAACATTAACACCTGTGTGACGTAAGGGCAATTATTCAACTGCTGTAAAATTGAGTTTCCTGAAGCGTAAAACGGGGCTGAAAACTACGTAGAACGCAGGATAATTCGGCTAAGGTGCTTAGCACAGTACCTGGCATTTAGTAAGTGTTTAATGCGTTTAGTCCCCTACTCGCGATGCCTGTCGATCCGCAGATTAGCAAACTACAACGCATCCGGGGCGGGTGGAGAAGACGTCACTCCAACGGTGGGTCTGCGGTGCTTGTCACGCCGAGACCGCAGAAGACGGTTAAGTGCTACCTCCCCGGCGACACTGAGTACCGAACACAGGTCAAGGCGGGGCTGACAGCAGCCCAGGGCCCGGCGCCTTCGGGGAGCCCGGGGAGACCCGGCAGCGCCCTCCGAGCCCGCAGCACACGGCCCCGGCGGAACCGCACGGCCTCCGCACAGCGGGCCTCAGAGGGGGAACGCGGACCCGAGAGAGACCCGGCAGCGCGCTCCGGTCCCCGCAGCACACGGCCCCGGCGGAACCGCACGGTCTCCGCACAGCGGGCCTCAGAGGCGGGAACGCGGACCCCAGAGAGACCCGGCAGCGCCCTCCGTCCCCGCAGCACACGGCCCCGGCGGAACCGCACGGACTCCGCACAGCGGGCCTCAGAGGGGACACGCGGACCCCAGAGAGACCCGGCAGCGCCCTCCGAGCCCGCAGCACACGGCCCCGGCGGAACCGCACGGACTCCGCACAGCGGGCCTCAGAGGGGACACGCGGGCCTGGAGGGCGGCCTCCGCTGAGGGCCTCCCCCGGGCGCGGACCCCGGCCCTCCGCCCCGGGAAAGCCGGGAGGATCGAGAAAGACGACCCAGGGAGGAGACGGCCCCTCAGGCCCCCGCCCCCCGCGTCCGGCCTCCGCCTGCTCACCGGGCGCCGCGGCTCGCTGTGCTCGCAGCCCCCGGACCCACCCCGCACCGCGGCCCCCACAGACTCTCCCCACAGACTCGCACCTGACGTCAGGCCGGGGGCGCGGCCGCCATGCCGGAAGCCGGGGCTCCGCGAAGCCGGTTCCGCCAGCTGGTCGCCGCGCAGGCGCACTCGCGAGCCGAGCGCTCGCCGGCCGTGACGTCAGGGGGCGGCGTGCGCAGGCGCGGTGGCGTTCGGCTGTGGCTGGAGGTGCAACCAGCCCGGGTTAACCTCGGCGAGCAGGTGCATCGTGCAAGCGGTGGAACCGCACGTCGGTGGATGTCGTGGGGCGTTTGAAAGCTGGGACTGTGTGAGGCCTGAGCGAGCGTCAGCCTCCCCGAGTTCGTGCTGTCCTTGGGCCTTTGCGCTGGGTGCTTGCAAAAAGTGTAGCTTCATTAGGCTTTTGCAAATGAGGTAGGGCTGTGTGCTTTTCATGTTGGCAACTGCGGTCTGTCCTCTTATTAGGGAAATAACACACAGTTCACCGTAACACACAACACAGGAATCAAGATTGCATGACTGTTCAACGACTCAGTTGTTGGGTACGCCTGTAGTGCGTGTCTCGTACGGTAAGAGTAGTTGTGGTAGACACTCGGGATGGCGAGGTGAAAACAAACCCAGTCCCAGGCCCCGGTGGCTATTGATATCCACGGAAGCTCTGCCGTGGTCTTGTCTGGAAGCTTGAGAAATAGCATATAAAGCACGGAGGAAATAATTTGTATGAGAACCGCCTTTTAGTATAATATATTCTTGCTTCAGAATGAAAGTGAAATTCGCTGCGGTAGATTCTGACAAAGCAGTTTGGAGCTGTTCATTTTATTACAGGTGTCTACCCTAGAAACCCCCGCACCGACGCCTGTGAGGTCGCTGTGGTACAGTGAGAGTCTAATGGAGCTCGGACCTAAGGCCCCTGTCGCCCAACAACACTCAATGGCTTTATCAGTTATCTTCTGGGTGACTGAGAATCATTCAACGTCATTTTTCTCTGAATCACTTGTAATAGTCACCTGGTATGATTTGCAAATTATTCCCATAATTGCTATTCCGCTCAATGATCAGTGCACTCCGGAGAAGCGCCAGCAGGTTCTAGGCGCCCTCACTGGCCCACCTCGAGAGACGGGACCTGTCTGTGTTTGCACCCCATTCAACATCTACTAAGCTTTGTATCCGCGATAGGAGAGGAACCCCAATGACGAAACCAGGCAAAACGCAGGCTGAGTCCAGGCTCCACTGTATCCAGCAATTCCGGCTGCGTGGTGCAAAGCAAAAGCGCTAAGCGCCCCCGGCCGCTGCTGGAGGAGGTCCCTAGTTCCGGGGTTTATTAGACACCCAACAGCCGGACACGGAGCCACGATCCCGGCTCTCAGCTGTAGCAAGACAAATATGCTTAAAAACGAAGCGGAGCGGGGGAAAGTGCCTAATGTCCTCTGTTTCTGAAGAGCTGTGCCGACAGCAGGGGATGGCCGAGGGAGGCTGCCCCTGGGTAACAGGTGTCGCCAGGCGCCCAGCCTGGCTAGCAAAGCAGAGGGCGGGAAGGCAGAGCGCTCTGAGACGGGCCGGCGTCCCTGGTCCGCCCCAGGCCCAACTATACACTCCTGGTGGATACCCGCGAGCGCCCGGCGGGCCTGACGCGGACGCTCAGGGACCCCTGGGCGCACCTGCAAGGCCGCGCCAAGGTCCTGGGGCTCCCTGCGGCTCCGGTCACCCCCGACAGTCCCGGGGCTCCCTGCGGCTCCGGTCACCCCCGACAGTCCCGGGGCTCCCTGCGGCTCGGTCACCCCCGACAGTCCCGGGGCTCCCTGCGGCTCGGTCACCCCCGACAGTCCCGGGGCTCCCTGCGGCTCGGTCACCCCCGACAGTCCCGGGGCTCCCTGCGGCTCCAGTCACCCCCGACAGTCCCGGGGCTCCCTGCGGCTCGGTCACCCCTGACAGTCCCGGGGCTCCCTGCGGCTCGGTCACCCCTGACAGTCCTGGGGCTCCGTCCGGCTCTGGTCACCCTGACACAGGTACAGCGCCCGGGGAGGCCGCGCCAAGGTCCCGGGGCTCCCTCCGGCTCTGGTCACCCCTGCGGCTCTGGTCACCCTGACAGTCCCGGGGCTCCCTCCGCTCTGGACACCCCTGACAGTCCCGGGGCTCCCTCCGCTCTGGACACCCCTGACAGTCCCGGGGCTCCCTCCGGCTCTGGTCACCCCTGCGGCTCTGGTCACCCCTGACAGTCCCGGGGCTCCCTCCGCTCTGGACACCCCTGACAGTCCCGGGGCTCCCTCCGCTCTGGACACCCCTGACAGTCCCGGGGCTCCCTCTGGCTCTGGTCATCCCTGCGGCTCTGGTCACCCTGACACAGGTGCAGCGCGGGGCGAGGCCGCGCCAACGTCCCGGGGCTCCGTCCAGCTCTGGTCACCCTGACACAGAAGACAGCGCCCGGCGAGGCCGCGCACAGCCCTGCGCGGACGGCGAGGCGGGACAGCAGCGGCCGCTCGAGCGCCCTCCGCCGCGCCGCGCCGCGCGCCTGCCCGTCCGGGCCACCGTCGCGGGGCTCCGGCCCGGCTTCTGCGCACGCTCGGGAGGGCGGGCCGGCTCCGCGCGGCGCCGAGGACGGAGAGCGGTTACGTGGGCGCCGGCGACGCCGGGGCGCGGGCCGGAAGCGGAGCGGCCGGAGCGCGGCGCTGGCCCGCGGCGACGGCCCTGCGGCGGCGGGAGGACGATGAGGAGCGCCGGCAGCGGCGCGGGGGCTCGCTGCTGCGCGGCGCCCGCCTTCGTGCGCGCGGCCCACGGCGCGGCCTGCCCGCGAGCCTGAGTGAGTGCGGCCCCGGGGGTCGCGCGGGGGCGGGGTGCTGGCCCGCGGCGCCCGGGGGGCTCCCCGTGCCCGCAGCGCGGCTCGCGGGGCGTCCTTGCGGGGCCGGGCCCCGGAGCGCTCGGCACGCAGGGCAGGCGCCGGCGGCGTTGCACCCGCGACCGCTCCCCGGACCCGCCCTGCCACGCAGGGGTGGAAAAGTCACGCGGGAGAGCCGGTGCGAGGGCGGTGGGGTGCAGAACCGCGGGCTCTGCGTGCGGGTGACAGCTCCGGACCCGCGGACAGCGTGCCAGGAAGTTCTGGGGTGTTCGGCAAAGCCGTCCGGTGGAGTGGTTTGGGTTGGTTTTCCTTTTTCCTATCGTTCGTGTGGTGCAAAATGCGTTTTCAGTGTCCCTGGCCGGGTACCGTCGCTGGAAATAAACGGGTCGTTTTGCACCTGCCGCTGTGGACTGGGCGTCGCGTCGAGGCCCCGGGCGGGAGAGGCGGGAGTGCGTGGACTTTGGATTCGGATGCTGGGTTCTCAGTTGAGCATGCCTCAGTGCCCCTCTGCGGGTCTGCTGGGATGAGAGCTTCGACTGGGAAGTTCAGCGCGGTCTTATTCCACCAGTGTGATGTCATAACTGCCGCGCTCACTGGGGGTGAGGAGAAGCCCACCGTGGTGCAGGCGCCGCTCGGGAGCTGGACAAGCCTCAGCCCCGGTGAGCGGGGCAGTTCCTCCGCCACAGTGCGTGCCAACATGCGCCTGTGCACGGGGTGGTTGATGGACACCAGCGAGGAGCGGGGGTCCGGGGAAAGCCTGCCGCAGGTGCCACCATGCGCCTGTGCACGGGGTGGTTGATGGACACCAGCGAGGAGCGGGGGTCCGGGGAAAGCCCGTGGCAGGTGCCACCATGCGCCTGTGCACGGGGTGGTTGATGGACACCAGCGAGGAGCGGGGGTCCGGGGAAAGCCCGTGGCAGGTGCCACCATGCGCCTGTGCACGGGGTGGTTGATGGACACCAGCGAGCGGGGGTCCGGGGAAAGCCTGCAGCAGGTGCCACCATGCGCCTGTGCACGGGGTGGTTGATGGACACCAGCGAGCGGGGGTCCGGAGAAAGCCTGCGGCAGGTGCCACCATGCACCTGTGCAGGGACTACAGCGTACGGGGTGGTTGATGGACACCAGCGAGGAGCGGGGTCCGGGGAAAGCCCGTGGCAGGTCGGCTTTGGGGATGTTGAGGCCTTGCCCTATTCACTTCCAGAGTGTACACAGGCTCTGGGCAGCCCCCAGGGAGGCCTGCGCACTGTTTACTGCAAACCTAGCAGGCTTTCTGGGTGCGCTTGCCTTTGCTTGCTTACCCTGCTGTAGCAGGTAATACAGAACCTGATTTCTGTCTCACAGGGGTAGCTTGCGTTTTTACGTTTGATCTCGGCAGATTTCAATTAAGTGTTTCAAATTCATCTTGCATGCGAGGAAAATATGTATTTAGAGAGTCTGAGAGAGTTGGTCAAAGCTACCTAGCTATTAACAGACCACGCCCCAAACGCTGTAGGCTTCTGCCTGGGCTCCCTCTAATAGCCCGCGTGGAATGCTGAAAGCCCGGGAGCAGGTGTGCTGCAGGTAGCCCTGGGGACTGGGCTCTTAGGCACGTAGCCGCTGCTGTGCCACCTAGGAGGTTACTAAGTGGGTCTGGGCCGACAGAGTGGCCCACCGGAGGTACAGAAGACGGTAGGCCCTAAGGTTTTTCCTGTCCTCTTTGCCGCTGCTTACCTCAGAGGAATCCTCTGTTTCTCTGCTTTGTTCATTAAGAACCGGTTGCGTTACTGCTCAGAGAACCTAAAATCTTTGTTCAGTTGCCCCAGGAAGATCTGAGACCGTGGAAAGTAAAAGTGCAGTACCCCTCTGAGTGGACCTCAAAATGGCTCCAGTTCTTCTAAGTAAGATTGTGCCCCTCACGGATGCAGTGTTGCGTCTTCCGTAGCTATTGCAGGAAGCTTTCAACTCTCACCACGGTGCTCGCTGCTGAAATCCCTCCCAGGTGAAGTGTCTCAGCTCGAGACCTGAGCTAGCCCGAGAATCTGACTACTTGTGCATTGGTTTGATGTAAGACGTTGAATTCGAAGTTCACCCACCTAGTTTGTAGGTAAATTCTAGAGCATCACCCGTTCAGAAAGTTGGAAAACTGAGTTTCGTTATCGAACTTCCAACATCGCTCTTCGGTTTTAGGCGTGTGGGGTCCCCCCCCCCCTGTTTTTTAGCTTACGTATATTTATAATCTCAGCACAAATTGTGATTGGCTTCTGCAGTGACAATAATCTGCCATCTCAGTCCTCCAAAAGTTGAGTGCGTTTGCCAAGTCTCTCATGCTTCAGGAACAAAGAAAGCACAAAAATGCTAAGTTGCTGCCTGGTGTCATTTTTGAGGGAACCGCTCCTGCAGATGTAAATCCCGGTTTAAATGCTCTCCGATCTATTCAATTACTGTCCAGCGTTCTATAGGCAGTTACTGCTCATGCGTCCCATGGGACTGTTAATACACACTTTTTCATTATTGATGGCATGTGGGCAGCCATTAGGGAAATAGAGAATTCATTCTGTGGTGTCTCCAGCACACCGAGAGCAGCTGTCTGTGTTTCGGTTTCAGCTGCGCAGCTTGGGTGCTGGCTTCCCCGCCCAGTGCTTAGCAGAGACAGGGAGAGGTGAAGGAGTGCTGCCTTTGAGGCTCTCACTTGGAGTGTGCGGTGTCTCAGCTCCTCGCGGGGCTGTGGATGTCCGTCACTCGTGGGCTTGCCTCCCGTGCTTTGCAGTCCTCGGCGGAACCTGCCTGTTGTCCTGCGGGTGTGTTTTCCTGCTGTGTGAGCAGTTACTGTTCTTAAACAAGCTGCTCCTAAACTCACCAACTTAAGGAGAACTTCAAATCTGTAAAAATACCAGTGCACTCACCACTTGCGTCCTGTGTATCATATTTATAGTTAGTTTTTAGCCAGATTGTTTTTGGGGAGTTAATATTTAATCTACATGTAGGTAAAACGTCTTCTGTAGTTTACATCACGCTTTTGCTGTTGGCAGAATTAATAAACATAGTATAGAGTTTTGTAATGAAAAATAATTTCATGGGACAGTTCCATTGAGTAATCATTTTTAATTTACAGATAAAATGCTACTGAGTAAAGAACATTTAAGATGATTGAAAGAAATATATTAACAGTGTTCCTTTAAAAAAATAATTTGAAAGAGATTTTCCATCTGCTGGTTCACTCTCCAGATGTTTGCCACAGCTGAGACTGGGCCAGGCTGAAGCCAGGAGCCAGGGACTCCATCCTGGTCTCCCCTGTGGAATGCAGGGGCCCGAGTACTTGAACGATGGTTTGCTGCCTCCCAGGATGCACCCGAGCCAGAAGCTGAAAGTAGAACTGGGAGTGGAACCCGGGACTCCCCCGCAGGAGGTGGACGTCCCCAGCGGTGCCTTTGCTGCTGCACCACACACCTGCCCGGCTTCCCTCTTCCTTTGGAAGATGCAAGTCTCTGGGGCAGAGGCAGTGAAGTTACATACACTTAGTGCAGAACGGCGGTTCTGAACTCTGGTCCGAAGACCTCTTTATATTAAAAAAAAAGAAGAGAAACAAAGGTCCTGTGTATTTGGATCATGTAGATATTTGTTGTGTTAGTTAATACCATAGTTCATACATTAATTCATTTAAAAATAGCAGTATGAATCCTTTACC